GCAGCGAGATTTGTCCTGAACTAACCTCAAGTCCACAAAAAGACACAGCTCATCCATTGCAGCTACAGTGCTTTCGGACAGCTTGTTGACCTGAATGACCCCCTGGGTAAATTTCCTGAAGGACTTCATCTTTGCCTCCAGGGAAAGTGGCAAGGCGCGAGCCAGCGTGACTTCCCTGCCAATGCTCCGTACACCGAGCCGATGCTGCAGCATGAAGCTCACCGCCCAGTCGTAGGAGATGCGGAAAGAGTCACTGAAACCTCCCTTCTTCTTCAACGTGGAGGCTTTGTGGAATAGGTTGCTCTCTGTAATTGGAAGCTGCTGCTCACGCATGGACAGTACCCAGGCCACCATACGGTCAACGCCGTCGGCTTGGACTTTCTGTTCCTGTTCAGTTTGCTTCAAACGCTTCCTGGCCTCCTTCAGCCAGGTCCGGATGAGCTCCGTGTCAGTTGAGAAGACCCTTGAGGCTTGATGGAGTCCGTCACACAGAGCGAACAAGGCGATCCTCAGCTGACGGGCGGTGAGGAAATCATCGCGTTCTTTAGAGGCAGACGAGACGGTTGCTGGTTGGGCGCGGACGTTCGTTGTTGACAGCAGTTGAGACACTGGACGTTTATCTTCTTTGAGAAATTCTTCCTTACTATCTTCAGTTTCTTCATCAACGTCGTCCAGATCATCCAGTCTCTCATCGTCGGAAAAGTCCAAGTCCTCCACAGGGGCCATTGCCCCGTCCACGTGGTCCTGAACCTCGATCACCTCGACTGCTCCACTACAGAGAACCAAAGGTACAGGAGTCAATATTATTGCAGAGATCACAGCAATAACTCAAAACACTCATGTTCAATTCTATTTAGAAATTATTACCTACCTTCTATCCTTGAGAAATCCAACTTTAGTTGATCCTGTTGAAAACATCAAACATGTATTTTTAATTGTGTAAAGCAGCAAAAAAACAATTTCTCAGTTATAGAACAAATTAACTGTATAAAATACTGACCTTTGTTCAGAGGCGACAGGCCGTGATATTCCCAGAAGCAGCTCGGCTGTTTGCACAGGTTGGCTTTACAGACAAAGCAGCCGAACACGCTCTCACGGCGAATGTTCCTCAAGTTGCAGTTCTTACACCTCTTGGAGATGTGGCTGATCTTTGCCATCCTGTGTCTGTGTTTAACTGGTTCGTCCGCCACCTCTACCCTCATCCCGCGGGAGCTGGCGATCTCAATGGTCTCAAAGTATTTCTGAGCACATTTGGCAAGCTGGTTGCCCAAACGTTTGCGGAAGTTGACCTGAGTAAAAAGGCCGTCTTGTACCCAGGCCGGTGGGTTCTCTTTGCGGCTCTCCCGCAGCACGATGAAGGCATTGACGATGCTCAGGTTCACCAGGAACCAGAAGAGGCTGCGCCAGTGTCGATCCTGGGGGATTCCTCCCAGTGGGTTGCAGGCCAGCAGCTGCTTGCAGATGTCAACCCCTCGCATGTTCTCCTGCAGGAGGCGGAATGCCATGGGGCGATCAATAGGGTCTAGTTCACCCACTTTGGTCTGAGACCTCCTCCAAACAGTGTCCTGTTCACCTGGAGCTGCATTAGTTGACAAACAGCCCATCTCCTTGGTGTCCCTCCAACGGGTGGCCAGCAGAGGGCCAAACTGCCTCTGCAGGAAGTCTCCGGGTTTCTCCAGCTGGCCCTCCTCCCACAGCTCTGCAGGCAGGATGGGGTTGGGTGGAGGAAAGGAGCTGGAGGCGTAGATGCCCTGGTCCAGAAGCTTCTGCATGAGTGCGACAGACGTAAGCGAACTAGCCAGGAAAAGGTGGTGGTGTTTATCCTCCAGACCCTTCCCCAGCTCCGGTACCACAGTGAAGCCCGGCTCCTGGCCGACCTTCTCTCCCACCTGGATGAAGAAACGGTGGCAGTAGCCAGACTTGGAGTCACAGAGCAGCCACACCTGAGGCTGGGTCTTTGGGTTGCCCTTAGTGCTGCAGCTCTCCTCCTCCAGGCTGGGCAGCAGCGCCCTGTCGATGGCAAGACAGCAGTTTGGCCGGTAGGTGTTCCACATTGCTTCACCCAGGGTGTCTAGCATCGGCCTGAAGATGTGGAGCGAGTCGCTGGACTTGCCGGTGCCACGATACTCGTCTGTGGTGAAGCTGCCCATCCGGATATTGGCAGCGATCTGCTTGAAGCGTTTGAAGCTCATGGCTCGGTAGAATGTATAGCTGTTGTCGTAGTGACTCCAGGACCAGTAGTGCGATGGGTCGGGTAGGTTCTGGATCCCCATCAGGATAACCAGGCCTATGAAACCTTTGATCTCGTGGGTTGTGACGGGGACCCAGTCTGGGTAGAAGGAGCCCAGGAACTGGCAGGTCTTGACGTGGGCGTTGGTCTCGTTGGTGATTAGCTCCATGAGTGATGCAGGAAAGAGCAGGTTGAAGAAGTCGATGGCGTCACTGTTCTTGGACAGATAGTGACGAGGCCCGCTGCTCTGCATGAATGGGACAATGGTGGACTCAGCACTGTCACTCTCTGTTGGATGTTTCCAACAATTTGCTGACCTCAAGGATGGATCAGACAAGTCTTTGTTCTGGTCTGGTTCCTTCTCTTCTGAAGGTCCTTCCTCATTGTGGCAGAACTGGATGTCAGGTTCAATGTAGGCTGAAAAGAAGGGACAATTAAACTTCTTTTATTATCTTAAACAGTAATTCACTGTAATTATTTTTAGAAAGATCAATCACTAATGATCACGTATAAAAATGTCGGCAGAAACATCCTACTGCGTCACAATGTTCAGTAAGTTGGGGCGGGGCCTAGTGGCCGACATAGGCCATGTTTGTATTGTTGTATTGGGCACCACGAGTCTTTGAAAGGGAGACTAGTGGGTTCCCATAGAACCCAATTTTATTCAGATATCTTGAGGTCAGGGGTCAAGGGATTCCTGTGAAAATGGCCATGCCAGTTTTTCCATCAACAAAATCTAGCCCAACGTTGGAGCCCCCCTCCTCCCCTTTCCCATGTGTGATATGATCAGTTTGATCACCTGGTCAGTGGTGAAGGGATGAATTAACTCAACAGTTCTTCTCTAAGTTGGCAGTGGATCATGTTGAAAGACATCCTGACATGTGAACACACTGATCCAGATACAACACTCCTTCATTTCCTTAACTTCCAGCTGTCAGGGAGCGATTGGAGACTCTGAACCTTCAGTTAGGTCAGGTTTATTGACTTTGGCTCCAGCTGAAGCCAGAAGTCGGACGCTGCCAAGAGCTATGGAGCAACAGGTCTGTGGAAAGCTCCGGGCGTCCTTCACCTAACTCTTGATTTAATAGCTCAGTTAGTGTTTACAAACCCAGCATCAGGAAACGGACATAAAGTTCGACATGAAGTTGAGTGTGCTGATATCTGCAGACTGCGTTAGTGCTCGTATCTCTGATGGTTCTGTTATCTGAGAGAATATTTTGAAACAATGAACTGAAGATATTCGTTGGAATATTTACTTTAAAGGTTTGATGACGAAGGAGGAGCACAATGTATTCACCAAAATAAAATGGACATTATTATTACTCAGTCCAATCTTAATAAAAACAAGACTTGTATCTCATTATTACTATCAAACTTTCACAAAAACAACCAGCCTGCACAAAGATTGTCCTTAGAGTCCCAGTTAATGTTTCCTTAAAATAACACAGGTTGCACAAAACAAGTCTTACAGGGCAGGAATAAAACCCAACAGCCGTAATGTCCCTGCTACCATGGACCACCCACAGTCAGTTTGTCCTTAAACTACCGGAAACACAGCAAATAAACACAGTTTCCCAGAGTCTGATCACACTGGACATAAACAGTAGCTCCAGATTTCTCCCACAGCATCTGTATGTTAGCAGAGGGGCAGTTTGGTTCCTGCAGTCAGACATACAGTGTGTAGCTGAGCTCAGGTTGCAGTACAACAGGTACTAGCATTAGTTAGCACTATGAGTCACAGAGGACTGTGGAAGCTAATACATATTTTCCAGCAGCAGCTATCAGAGAAATACAGTGCTCTGGTAGACTCTGTGTGTGTGTGTGTGTGTGTGTGTGTGTGTGTGTGTGTGTGTGTGTGTGTGAGAGACTTACTCCTGGTCTGACAGGTGGCGCTGTAATGCTCTGGGTTGATCAGCAGGTGATCAGCCATCTGATCTGCAGTGAGAGTCCTGTAGTGGCAGTGAGAGCACTGCAGCAGGAAGACACTGAGGGAGGACAGTGATTAGCTGATCAGCAGGAACACAGATCAATAATACATACAGCTGCAGGAGGCCTCTACAGGACAGCACTAGCTCACTGCAGCAGGTCCATTATTGACATTAACGCAATCAGCTGCTGGAATATTATCAATATATCTGATTATTAATGTTATTAATTAATTATTGCTGCAGGTGGACTGAACCCTCACTGGGTTGTAAAATGACCACAAATCAATACTAATCAATACAATACTAAAAGTTTTTGTAGATCCTTCCAGCTGAACATGTTGGATCAGGGAGGATTATAAAGTATTTGCAGACCAGATGTGAACCAGTAGATCCACTTCCTGTTCTGGTTTATAAAGATAACAGTGACACCTACAGGCCACACACAGTCACTGCAGCACACTGTCACACACTGACCTCTGACCTCTGACACAGAAACTCTACATTTATATTTCATTTGTTTCTATACACAGGCAGAGATTAACAGCTACAGTTTATTAGACAGGAGAAGAAGAACTACTTTTACAGTCTTATAGATTTATTGTTTGTTTGTTTGTTGGATTGTGTTCTCACCATGGAGGAGGTCGTCTGTGCAGAGGAACTACTTTGTCTTTGGACTGTGGTACGTGGTGACTGAAATCAACAACAAACAACAACAATAATTAATAACCAATAACTCCACCTCTGATCACTGAGAGTCAAAGTCCTCCTGTAGTACACTGAGTCCTCCTGTAGTACACTGAGTCCTCCTGTAGTACACTGAGTCCTCCTGTAGTACACGGTCCTCCTGTAGTACAGCGAGTCCTCCTGTAGTACAGCGAGTCCTCCTGTAGTACACTGAGTCCTCCTGTAGTACACTGAGTCCTCCTGTAGTACACTGAGTCCTCCAGTAGTACGAGCCTCCTGTAGTACACTGAGTCCTCCTGAGTAGCCTCCTGTAGTACAGCGAGTCCTCCTGTAGTACACTGAGTCCTCCTGTAGTACACTGAGTCCTCCTGAGAGTCCTCCTGTAGTACAGCGAGTCCTCCTGTAGTACACTGAGTCCTCCTGTAGTACACTGAGTCCTCCTGTAGTACACTGAGTCCTCCTGTAGTACAGCGAGTCCTCCTGTAGTACACTGAGTCCTCCTGTAGTACACTGAGTCCTCCTGTAGTACAGCGAGTCCTCCTGTAGTACACTGAGTCCTCCTGTAGTACAGCGAGTCCTGAGCCTCCTGTAGTACACTGAGTCCTCCTGTAGTACACTGAGTCCTCCAGAAGTCCTCCTGTAGTACAGCGAGTCCTCCTGTAGTACACTGAGTCCTCCTGTAGTACAGCGAGTCCTCCTGTAGTACAGGGTCCTCCTGTAGTACACTGAGTCCTCCTGTAGTACAGCGAGTCCTCCTGTAGTACAGCGAGTCCTCCTGTAGTACAGCGAGTCCTCCTCGTAGTACACGAGTCTTGTAGAGTCCTCCTGTAGTACAAGTCCTCTGAGTCCGATCCTCCTGTAGTACACTGAGTCCTCCTGTAGTACAGCGAGTCCTCCTGTAGTACACTGAGTCCTCCTGTAGTACACGAGTCCTCCTGTAGTACATGGGTCCTCCTGTAGTACAGCGAGTCCTCCTGTAGTACACTGAGTCCTCCTGTAGTACAGCGAGTCCTCCTGTAGTACACTGAGTCCTCCTGTAGTACAGCGAGTCCTCCTGTAGTACACTGAGTCCTCCTGTAGTACAGCGAGTCCTCCTGTAGTACAGCGAGTCCTCCTGTAGTACACTGAGTCCTCCTGTAGTACACTGAGTCCTCCTGTAGTACACTGAGTCCTCCTGTAGTACACTGAGTCCTCCTGTAGTACATGAGTCCTCCTGTAGTACAGCGAGTCCTCCTGTAGTACACTGAGTCCTCCTGTAGTACACTGAGTCCTCCTGTAGTACACTGAGTCCTCCTGTAGTACAGCGAGTCCTCCTGTAGTACACTGAGTCCTCCTGTAGTACACTGAGTCCTCCTGTAGTACAGCAGTCCTCCATGAGTCCTCCTGTAGTACACTGAGTCCTCCTGTAGTACACTGAGTCCTCCTGTAGTACACTGAGTCCTCCTGTAGTACACTGAGTCCTCCTGTAGTACACTGAGTCCTCCTGTAGTACAGCGAGTCCTCCTGTAGTACACTGAGTCCTCCTGTAGTACAGCGAGTCCTCCTGTAGTACACTGAGTCCTCCTGTAGTACACTGAGTCCTCCTGTAGTACAGCGAGTCCTCCTGTAGTACAGCGAGTCCTCCAGTAGTACAGCGAGTCCTCCTGTAGTACACTGAGTCCTCCTGTAGTACAGCGAGTCCTCCTGTAGTACAGCGAGTCCTCCTGTAGTACACTGAGTCCTCCCTGTAGTACAGCGAGTCCTCCTGTAGTACACTGAGTACACCTCCGAGTCCTCCTGTAGTACAGCGAGTCCTCCTCCTGTAGTACACTGAGTCCTCCTGTAGTACACTGAGTCCTCCTGTAGTACACTGAGTCCTCCTGTAGTACACTGAGTCCTCCTGTAGTACAGCGAGTCCTCCTGTAGTACACTGAGTCCTCCTGTAGTACAGCGAGTCCTCCTGTAGTACAGCGAGTCCTCCTGAGTCCTCCTGTAGTACAGCGAGTCCTCCTGTAGTACACTGAGTCCTCCTGTAATACAGCGAGTCCTCCTGTAGTACACTGAGTCCTCCTGTAGTACAGCGAGTCCTCCTGTAATACAGCGAGTCCTCCTGTAGTACACTGAGTCCTCCTGTAGTACAGCGAGTCCTCCTGTAGTACAGCGAGTCCTCCTGTAGTACAACGAGTCCTCCTGTAGTACAGCGAGTCCTCCTGAGTCCTCCTGTAGTACAGCGAGTCCTCCTGTAATACAGCGAGTCCTCCTGTAGTACAGCGAGTCCTCCTGTAGTACACTGAGTCCTCCTGTAGTACACTGAGTCCTCCTGTAGTACAGCGAGTCCTCCTGTAGTACAGCGAGTCCTCCTAGTAGTACAGCGAGTCCTCCTGTAGTACACTGAGTCCTCCTGTAGTACAGCGAGTCCTCCTGGAGTCCTCCTGTAGTACAGCGAGTCCTCCTGTAGTACAGCGAGTCCTCCTGTAGTACACTGAGTCCTCCTGTAGTACACTGAGTCCTCCTGTAGTACAGCGAGTCCTCCTGTAGTCCTCTTACTGGATCATGTGAGCAGCGTAGGCTCTGGAGCAGCAGCTGCTGTAGGGACACAGCAGACAGTGGACGTGAGTCGGGTAGTGGGCGGAGAAGTCGGAGGCGTCGGTTCCACACTCCAAACACACCAACCGCTCGCCGTCGTACGATGAACTCCTGCAGGAGGTGGGGAGAGGAGGGAAGACAGGAAGTGATGTCATTGTCAACTGATGGCAGCAGTTCCCTGAGGTTGTACGGTGAGCTAAATGCTAAATGCTAACATGCTAATGATCTAGATTAGCATGTTAGCATGCTAGCAGTAGCTGTTATAAAGACCTGCTGACGTGGACTCTGCGGCCCGGCGGCCTCTTGGTGGGGGATCGGGGGGGTTTGAGGAGAGAAGGGCTCTTCTGGATCTTCTGCAGCTCCGTCTTTATGTGGATCGGCTCCACCAGGGAGGACCGGTTCTGGAGCAACCGGGTCCCCGATGGAGTCTTCACGGGTCGGAGCTTACCATAGGTCCTGATAGTCACCTGGAGGCACACGGATCAATAATGAGAACCAACGGCGAGGACAGAGATTGATCAGACAGAGATTGATCAGAGACAGAGATTGATCAGATTAATCAGAGAGAGATTGATCAGAGACAGAGATTGATCAGAGACAGAGATTGATCAGATTGATCAGACAGAGATTGATCAGAGACAGAGATCGATCAGAGACAGAGATTGATCAGAGACAGAGATTGATCAGAGACAGAGATCGATCAGACAGAGATTGATCAGAGACAGAGATTGATCAGATTAATCAGAGAGAGATTGATCAGAGACAGAGATTGATCAGAGACAGAGATTGATCAGATTGATCAGACAGAGATTGATCAGAGACAGAGATCGATCAGAGACAGAGATCGATCAGAGACAGAGATTGATCAGACAGAGATTGATCAGAGACAGAGATCGATCAGAGACAGAGATTGATCAGACAGAGATTGATCAGACAGAGATTGATCAGAGACAGAGATTGATCAGAGACAGAGATTGATCAGAGACAGAGATTGATCAGATTGATCAGACAGAGATCGATCAGAGACAGAGATCGATCAGAGACAGAGATCGATCAGACAGAGATTGATCAGAGACAGAGATTGATCAGACAGAGATTGATCAGAGACAGAGATTGATCAGATTGATCAGACAGAGATTGATCAGAGACAGAGATTGATCAGAGACAGAGATTGATCAGATTGATCAGACAGAGATTGATCAGAGACAGAGATTGATCAGAGACAGAGATCGATCAGACAGAGATTGATCAGAGACAGAGATTGATCAGAGACAGAGATCGATCAGAGACAGAGATTGATCAGAGACAGAGATCGATCAGACAGAGATTGATCAGAGACAGAGATTGATCAGATTAATCAGAGAGAGATTGATCAGAGACAGAGATTGATCAGAGACAGAGATTGATCAGATTGATCAGACAGAGATTGATCAGAGACAGAGATTGATCAGACAGAGATTGATCAGATTGATCAGACAGAGATTGATCAGACAGAGATTGATCAGAGACAGAGATTGATCAGATTGATCAGAGACAGAGATTGATCAGATTGATCAGACAGAGATTGATCAGAGACAGAGATTGATCAGAGACAGAGATTGATCAGAGACAGATCGATCAGACAGATCGATCAGAGACAGAGATCGATCAGACAGAGATTGATCAGAGACAGAGATCGATCAGACAGAGATTGATCAGAGACAGAGATCAATCAGACAGAGATCGATCAGACAGAGATTGATCAGAGACAGAGATTGATCAGAGACAGATCGATCAGAGACAGAGATCGATCAGACAGAGATCGATCAGACAGAGATTGATCAGAGACAGAGATCGATCAGAGACAGAGATTGATCAGAGACAGAGATCGATCAGACAGAGATCGATCAGAGACAGAGATTGATCAGAGACAGAGATTGATCAGAGACAGAGATTGATCAGAGACAGATTGATCAGAGACAGAGATCGATCAGAGACAGAGATCGATCAGAGACAGAGATTGATCAGAGACAGAGATCGATCAGACAGAGATTGATCAGAGACAGAGATTGATCAGATTAATCAGAGACAGAGATTGATCAGATTGATCAGACAGAGATTGATCAGACAGAGATTGATCAGATTGATCAGACAGAAATTGATCAGAGACAGAGATTGATCAGAGACAGAGATTGATCAGACAGAGATTGATCAGAGACAGAGATTGATCAGAGACAAAGATCGATCAGAGATAGATCGATCAGAGACAGAGATTGATCAGATTGATCACACAGAGATTGATCAGAGACAGAGATTGATCAGAGACAGAGATTGATCAGAGACAGAGATTGATCAGATTAATCAGACAGAGATCGTCCAGAGACAGAGATCGATCAGAGACAGAGATCGATCAGAGACAGAGATTGATCAGAGACAGATCGATCAGAGACAGAGATCGATCAGAGACAGATCGATCAGAGACAGAGATCGATCAGAGACAGATTGATCAGATTAATCAGACAGAGATTGATCAGAGACAGAGATTGATCAGAGACAGAGATCAATCAGAGACAGAGATTGATGACGTTGATCAATCACATTATAAAGCCTCGCTGTATGCTAACGTCCTAACTGAACCAGTCAGTGGGTTCAGGGCTGATATATGAGCTGACCTTGGACCCTGGCGGGAGTCCTTCCAGCTGAGCAGGTCGTCGGAAGCTGCGATGGTTTTCCAGTTTATGTTGCATCTTATCCTTGAGGAAGACAAACTGCAGACGGCACCGGTTACAGTGGAAGGCCTGATTGATCTGAGACAGGAAGATATTGATTAATCAACTAATCACACACTATAAATTAAAGCTGCATGCAGCCATCAACAGTGGTGTGTGTGGTCATAGGTGTGTGTGTGTGTGTGTGGTTACAGGTGTGTGTGTGTGTGGTTACAGGTGTGTGTGTGTGTGGTTACAGGTGTGTGTGGTCATAGGTGTGTGTGTGTGGTTACAGGTGTGTGTGTGTGTGTGTGTGTGTGTGGTTACAGGTGTGTGTGTGTGTGTGTGTGTGTGGTTACAGGTGTGTATGTGTGTGTGTGGTTTTACAGGTGTGTGTGTGGTTACAGGTGTGTGTGTGTGTGTGTGTGTGTGTGTGTGTGTGTGGTTACCGGTGTGTGTGATTACAGGTGTGTGTGTGTGTGTGTGGTTATAGGTGTGTGTGTGTGTGTGGTTATGGTGTGTGTATTGTAGGTGTGTGTGTGTGTGTGGTGTGGTTACAGGTGTGTGTGTGTGTGTGTGGTTACAGGTGTGTGTGTGGTTACCTGGTGTCTCAGCAGGTGCTGCTGGTAGCTGGTGGGGTTTCTGGTCACCTTCAGGCAGAAGACACACAGCAGGAAGCGAGTCTCTCTGTGGAAGCTGGCAAAGTGCTGCAGGACGTCCGAGTAGAAGGACGAGCGATACGAACACACCTGTAAGGCACACCTGAGTTAACGAGGCCGCAGGACAAAGACTCCCTGAGCCGGGTCGGGGGTCAGACTCACCTGGCAGATGTAGGGCATCTCTCCTGGTTTGTGGTTGGACTTCATGTGGTTCAAGAAGGCCGGCTCGTTCTCAAACGCCCACTCACAGATACGACACATACCTGAGACCGACAGGTGAGTCCCGAAGCGTTAGGAATTGTTAAAATGAGATATTTCTTAAAGGGAGTTTGGTGCAGGGAGCTTTTAGTTGGATTCAAACTGCTGATATGGATCATTGTTAACGTTTAGTCTCCACTACAGAAACACTAGCTAACTGCTAAAGGCTGATCAGGTTAATA